AGTCAGTGTTTAGCACTGGGGGTTGTGTATTAGATCCATTTTGTAGCTCCCTCACTTCTAAGACGGTGGAGGCTCTTATTTATACAAAAGATTGGATTTAGGCTACACGTGTGTTAGTGTATGCCCTAGGAACCAATCGTGTTGTCGGTTTAAGGACATTATATCTTGTAAATGTATTATGAATAAAAGAAAGTGTTCTTATTTCACATGTTGATTTATTGCTTCATTTATATTATAATTAATATTGCATGTGAAATGTTTGGATGACACGGATCTTCAGAAGATCAGATCATCGAAGAATTCCCTACGCAAGTAATGTTAATTGGGCAATAACATTGCATAGTAGGCATGCTGAATGTCTCNAAGTAGGTGTTTAGTTATTAATTGTCATAATAGTTGTTAGATTGGTTATATTTTAATTCATTAGAAATCACTATGGGTTCCACATCATATTCAACCGCATTCATTAGCTAGTTGACAATTTTGTTACACATCATTTATTTTCTCCAACTTGTGTAGTTCAATCACATGATGTAAACTTGACTAAATGAAATGAGAGTGAACGACTTTTTCCCACCCAAGTTTTGCCTATATGACACTTTCTCACCAAAAAAGTTTCTAAATACCACTTTCCCACCCAAAGTTTATATCCCGTTAATACCCAAAATACACTTTACTTTCTCAGCCGACGTTCAATGAGTTATTAGGAACCGAGGTAAGAGGGTTTTGTAGAGTGGAGGCTGCTAGATCGAATGATGGTGATCGATTCAATATTTGCCGCTGGAATCAACCGAAAATCGGTTAAGAATAGGAAACCTTAGCTTTGTGGTAACCGGCAATCGGTGAGAAATCAAGTGTCGGAGTGAAAGGGGTTTTGTAAAGAGGAGACCGGAGGTTTAAATGGTCGTGATGGATAGAATTTTTGCTGTCGAAATAGGCTAGAATTGGCTTTGGGTAGTAACGAAATATAAACCTTGGATAGAAAAGTGGTATTTTGAAACTTTTTGGGAAGGAAAAAGTCATTTACTCATAAAATGATGCTAACTTTGTGNGATCAGGACCATATGAAATATGAAATAAATCTGGATTATTGTCTGGTAGTCTGAACTGGTATGCTTGCTTGGGCACACCAATAGAATTGGTTTAGGTGTATGCTTATTTAATTTCCTGTCTGGTGGCAGCCAATTTCTGTTAAGACAGATTGTGAGGAGAGATTCTATCATTTTTAGTCGTTGAGAAAGAAGTTATGTTCATGCATACAATTTTTTAAAGTATTTTAATTCCTTGCCCTTATATATGATGAATTTGCATTGACGTAGCCTATTGTTCGGTTAAACTTCCATCCCAGGTTACAAGGATGGAAGCAAAACCCCATCTATGAATCATTAGATATTTTAAAATTTGGATAGCTTCGATATGTTTGGTCAGTTAATCAATTGCATCTCTTTATTTGGTTGTTGAGGTTGATGATTGATTATAAATCCTTCGTAGGCAGTTGGCATGGGTTCTATCTGATTTTTGGTCTTTCTATTTGATGAGTAATTATACATTTACACCTTTAATTAAATGTTTTTGTTTAAATGAATAATGAAACATAACCCATCCAATACTTTCTCTCCAAACAAATTGGTAAAATTGCATGTGTCTTTCAAATCTCCCAACACCAAGTTCATGCATTTGATTTGATTTCAAGTCTCTCAATAAGAAGTTTTAAGTAGTGTTAGAATTGGAGCGCTCTTCCTCCAAATTTGTTCGATAAAAAGTGCCAAAACCACTGGGGTTGGAGCGTACTACTGTATTAATAATGCTAAACACTTTAAATGTCTTGATAAATTATAAGGTTTTTTTTGGATAGTATCAATTGAGGGACTTTCCGAATTTTTATTTTTTTTAATTAAATTTGTTTTCTAATTATTGATATTTTAATATTACTTTTATTTTATTTTTTGGTGACTTATAAATATTTTTGAAATAATAAAAGAAATTCAAATACTATCAAATCAATTACCAAATTACGTACTTATCCTTACTAAATGTTATGTCTAACTTATTATTGGATTATATATATATATATGTCAATATTTTCTCTTTAGTTTGACTGGGAGGTAAGAAAAGCAACCTTTTGGTTTAAATAATTTGAAAAATGTTATCTTTACAAAGACTTATACAAAGAGAGTTACAAAGTGACATGAGAGAGAAGAAAAAAACAAAGAAAGAATGGAAAAAGAGAGAGAGAGAGAGAGAGAAATTATGAAGATTAAGGGTAGTAATTGTCTTTGTATGTCTCTTTGTATTTGTCTTTGTAAGCCTAGCAATTCTCAAATAATTTTGTCCAAACGTCAAAACATAATGACATTTTTTGGGAGGAAATTTAACTCCGCGGACTTCCCAAGTTTGCATGTGGGGCTTTACATTTCACTGTCTTTTCTTTCAAACAAGCAGGCTTTCATTGAGTTGTACCATAATATTTTCATGGGAATCAAACAATTGGGATATGAAAATTATGGATAAAAATCAGATTTGACTAGCTTCCCATAGATAGAACAGATCAAATATTTATCATCAGATAAGGGGACATCCAGTGTGGCGTTGAACCTGCCCAGCAAATTTTTGGATTACCAAACTGCCTATGGATTCAGTCAGCTTTATAAATGATGCTTTGCCTTAAAGAAGTTCAAGGAAATTAGACGAAGAATTTTGGTATCTAATTAATTCCTTAGAATAAATAATTGATTTCTACAATGGGGATACATAGGAATCTGCTTAATCTTTAACATATCTGCATATTTTGGAATTGTTTTTTGGCTGGAAATCTTCAAGTCTTAGGTTGAACATTAAGGATGTGATTCAGAATTTGCTTTGTGGTCTGCTAATTGCTGGAAATTAAATTAAATTGGCAGAAATCCAGAAAGACCAAAATAAATTTGGTGAATAGCCAGCGCTTTTTATCTCAAACTTTATTGTTTTGGGTTTGATTGGGAAGAGTTGAGAAAAAAGTGCCACCTTGCATGAATAAATTAATTTGGAACTATTTAGTTTGTTGTAATAGCATCAGGATAACCACTTGACATTTTAGTAGTAGTTTTGTTGCTAATGATTCATATCAGGAATTTTGTCCACATATTTCTTAAGCTTTGTGCTCTTTAAATTTATGTTACATCATGCACATTCTCTTCGATGCAGCTTATATTGATCACCTATCCAGGACTGGTGATCTACGACAATCCCTAAAGTAATTTACATTATATGTTGAATGTGGTGCAAGAATCCTCTGTATACACAGGAGCTCCAATTAGGAACTTGGTAAATTGTTTTTAGTGGAGATTGAAATATATTATGGATTTTGATATGTCTCTTTTTACCAACACCCATCAACTCCCTGATAATGATGCATTTATAATTGTCAATTTGTTGAGCATGTCAAGTACATTGGCAGCTAGAGCAATTAAAAAGATTTAGGAAGTATTGTTATTATGAATCAATTGTTTAGAGATTTCCATTGGGAAAAAAAATCCTGCAAATGACATGTAATGCATCATTAATCTGGCTGAGTACGCTAGACTGAGGTTCTTTCAAGTTTATTTTTAGACTTTTTTGTTTTCTGACTCCTGATGCTCTTAGACACCTAAAAGTCTTGTGATATTGTTGGTAGCACTTTTTTTTTTTTTTTTTTTTTCTTTCTTTCTAATTTTTCATATTCAGACATGTTTTAGAAAGTAGAATGGCAGTTTATTTTATTCTTATGATTCAATGAATGATAATAAACTAATTACTTGCAGGTGTGAGCTGTTTAATACATCTCTGGATCAATATGTAAGGAGTATTGCCTAGTATTTCAGGTAGCATCCATGATCAGTTGAAGGTTTTGCAGCATTTAATTGAGGTTTGATTTCTTTAACAGTTTTGTTATTACAGGCAATGAAAAAAATATGATTTAATTTTTATAAACTTCTAACATTAATTTTTATTTGGGCAGAAATTGGGAGATCTACTTGTATTGACTTAATGTTGGTTTCCGCTTTCCACTTGTGGAGTTGTATTTACACAATTTCTTTTTTTGTTTTCCATTGGGACATATTTAGTTATTTTGTTGTTTTCCATTGGGACTTATTTAGTTATTTTGTTGTTTTATTATGAAATTTTATTTTTCTTTCATTTCAAACTTTTATTTGTATCAATTTTTAATGTATTGTTTGTAGTGGTCAATGATATGTATGAATGTTTAATTTTTATTTTGGATATGTATTGTTTATGTTTACAATTTAATCTATGAAAAAAAATAAGTTTTATCCCAAAAAAAGGGAAAACTGGTTCAAAACCGGTTAACCGGTTTTTCTCCTAAACCGATTCGGTTTAGGTTCAGGAATTTTCTTGAACCGAAAAACCAGTTTGATTAAGAAAAAACAGTTAACCAGTTCGGTTAACCACGTTTGAAAACCCCTACCAAACACACTCTTGATCATACCTAACCTAAAGCTTTTCTAAATTTTATTGCAAGTAATTTATCCTATGGGCTTTTTTATTGTCATACATGGCAAGTGTTTTTAAATATAATTAGGGTTTGTTTCTTATGCAACTCATTTGAATAAAGCTTATAAAAGAAGAGTTTTTTAAACTAGAATTTATGAAAATACATCTTTTATGAAAATTTTGTTAATCATTTGATTAGAAAGATGTAATTTTTTTCTATTATTAATTTATTTAAACATGTTTCGATATAAAGAATAGATCGAGTCAAAACTACAAAATAGAAAAAAAATTATTTTTATAATTTTAACGCTTTAAATAAATTCAAAAAGAATTTAGGAAAGAAATTTAAATATTTAATAAGCCATAGAATAGCTTTTTTTTTTTTTTTAAATTCGTATAAGACACTTTTAAATACAACCAATTAACTTAAAAAAAAAAAATAAGTGTAAGACAGCATTAAAACCGAGAGTGGCCGCAAGGGTACAACAGTAAAATCACGGTTGATTTTATCTACTTCTGTAAATTTTCTGAAATCCCCTCCTTCGAAGCGTCACCGGCTAAATCAATAAACAGTCGTAATTAAAGACAACCTTCTTAGCATTCCCTAATAATTTCCACAAAGTAGCTGAATTTGAGACCATTTAATCCCCAATCTTCACCCACGATCTCTAAACCCCAATCACTTGTTGATAATTTGAGTGATCTCAAACCTAATCACCACTCAAAGTAGACTCAAATTTCGGTTTCGGTAAGCATCGATCTCTGTTCTGATATAAATTAGACTTTCAATTATTCTGAAATTTCAATTTATCAATCTCTTATGTGATCTGGTTCAAGCGAAATCACCATTTGAGATATTATTTAGCGGACTTCTGAAGAAATTTATCGAACAGGCAAAATGCAGTTCTTTGGAAGCGCAGAGATCAGTCCATCACCGCCAGTGCCGACGACCTCCGGCAACAATGCTCACATGATGTACGTGTTTAATAGGAACGGTGTGTGCTTGCTTTACAGGGAATGGAATCGCCCTCTTCGCACACTCAACGCCCAACAAGATCATAAGCTCATGTTCGGTCTCCTCTTCTCTCTCAAATCATTGACGGCCAAAATGGATCCCACAAGGTATTTGTTTCTGTTTCCAATGAAATGGTAAATATGTATCATTTACATGTCTCTTAATCTACCAATTTATAATTTTCTGCTTCTAAGTTTAATTTTCTGTTTAGATTGATAAATGTTCATATACTTAGGATGATAGATGAGTGCTATATTGGTTTTATCTTATACCTCGAAGCTAATTATTGAAAACATCATGGACTTTATAATTTATGGATTCTTTGTATGATATTGGTATAATTTACTTCATCATTATCATCATCATCATTATTATTATTGTTATTATTTTCAGTGCAGAGAGGGGAAACCTGGGGGTGCCTCAATTACCTGGACAAGGTTGTTCGTTTCACAGTTTTCGTACTAATACATACAAACTTAGTTTTATGGAAAGTCCATCTGGTCTAAAGGTTAGTTGTAATATATCTGGTATTTATTACTTTTTATCAGAAAGAAATATATCTATTTTTTATTATTGAATCATAGGATGTGCTTAACTGTTGATTAATTTTTTGATATGATAATGTGCTTCAAACCTTCAATTGAAGATCTCAATTATGTGGGATTTACTGTTGTGCTTTTGTAGTTGAAACAGATTTGGGGCTTGATATTGGTTGAGATGGTGTCTGAAGAAATTTTAATATTTGAGTTGGGCTTGAAATTGTTAAAAAGTCAGTTGCTTTAGAGGAAGGGTTCTCCAATACCAGTGTTCTTGGCTATCTGCTTACACGATATTCCTAGTAATGCATTGTACAACTATTAAAGTTGGCTTTACATTTCACTGTCTTTTCTTTCAAACAAGCAAGGCTTTCATTGAGTTTTACCATAATATTTTCATGGGAATCAAACAATTGGGATATGAACATATATGGATAAAAATCAGATTTGCACTAGCTTCCCATAGACTAGAACAGATCAAATATTTATCATCAGATAAGGGGACATCCAGTGTTGGCGTTGAACCTGCCCAGCCCAAATTTTTGGATTACCAAACTGCCATATGGATTCAGTTAGCTTTATAAATGATGCTTTGCCTTAAAGAAGTTCAAGGAAATTAGACGAAGAATTTTGGTATCTAATTTAATTCCTTAGAATAAATAATTGATTTCTACAATGGGGATACATAGGAATCTGCTTAATCTTTAACATATCTGCATATTTTGGAATTGTTTTTTTGGCTGGTAAATCTTCAAGTCTTAGGTTGAACATTAAGGATGTGATTCAGAATTTGCTTTGTGGTCTGCTAATTGCTGGAAATTAAATTAAATTGGCAGAAATCCAGAAAGACCAAAATAAATTTGGTGAATAGCCAGCGCTTTTTATCTCAAACTTTATTGTTTTGGGTTTGATTGGGAAGAGTTGAGAAAAAGTTGCCACCTTGCATGAATAAATTAATTTGGACTATTTAGTTTGTTGTAATAGCATCAGGATAACCACTTGACATTTTAGTAGTAGTTTTGTTGCTAATGATTCATATCATGGAATTTTGTCCACATATTTCTTTAAGCTTTGTGCTCTTTAAATTTTATGTTATCATCATCGCACATTCTCTTCGATGCAGCTTATATTGATCACTCATCCTAGGACTGGTGATCTACGACAATCCCTAAAGTACATTTACAATTTATATGTTGAATATGTTGTCAAGAATCCTCTGTATACACCAGGAGCTCCAATTAGGTAACTTGGTAAATTGTTTTTAGTGGAGATTGAAATATATATTATGGATTTTGATATGTCTCTTTTTACCAACACCCATCCAACGTCCGTGATAATGATGCATTTATAATTGTCAATTTGTTGAGCATGTCAGGTACATTGGCACTAGAGCAATTAAAAGATTTAGGAAGTATTGTTATTATGAATCAATTGTTTAGAGACTTTCCATTGGAAAAAAAATCCTGCAAATGACATGTAATGCATCATTAATCTGGCTGAGTACCTAGACTGAGGTTCTTTCAAGTTTATTTTTACTTTTTTGTTTTTCTGACCTCATGATGCTCCTTAGACACCTAAAAGTCTTGTGATATTGTTGGTAGCACTTTTTTTTTTTTTTTTTTTTTCTTTCTTTCTAATTTTTTCATATTCGACATGTTTTAGAAAGTAGAATGGCAGTTTATTTTATTCTTATGACTCAATGATTTGATAAACTCATAATTACTTTGCAGGTGTGAGCTGTTTAATACATCTCTGGATCAATATGTAAGGAGTATTGCTAGTATTTCAAGGTAGCAATCCATGATCAGACCATATGAAATATGAAATATCTGGATTATTTCTGGTAGTCTGAACTGGTATGCTTGCTTGGGCACACCAATAGAATTGGTTTAGGTGTATGCTTATTTAATTTCCTGTCTGGTGGCAGCCAATTTCTGTTAAGACAGATTGTGAGGAGAGATTCTATCATTTTAGTTCGTTGAGAAAGAAGTTATGTTCATGCATACAATTTTTTAAAGTATTTTAATTCCTTGCCCTTATATATGATGAATTTGCATTGACGTAGCCTATTGTTCGGTTAACCTTCCTCCCAGGTTAAGGATGGAAGCAAAACCCCATCTATGAATCATTAGATATTTTAAAATTTGGATAGCTTCGATATGTTTGGTCAGTTAATCAATGTGCATCTCTTTATTGGTTGTTAGGTTGATGATTGATTATAAATCCTTCGTAGGCTTTGCGGGGTTCTATCTGATTTTTGGCTTTCTATTGATGAGTAATTATACATTTACACTTTAATTAAATGTTTTTGTTTAAATGAATAATGAAACAGAACCCATCCAATACTCTCTCCAAACAAATTGGTAAATTGCATGTGTCTTTCAAATCTCCCAACACCAAGTTCATGCATTTGATTTGATTTCAAGTCTCTCAATAAGAAGTTTTAAGTAGTGTTAAATTGGAGCGCTCTTCCTCCAAATTTGTTCGATAAAAAGTGCCAAAACCACTGGGGTTGGAGCGTACTACTGCTTAAATGCTAAACACTTAAAATGTCTTGATAAATTATAAGGTTTTTTTTGGATAGTATCAATTGAGGGACTTTCCAATTTTTATTTTTTTTAATTAAATTTTTTTTCTAATTATTGATATTTAATTTACTTTTATTTTATTTTTTGGTGCTTATAAATATTTTTGAAATAATAAAGAAATTCAATACTATCAAATCAGTTACCAAATTACGTACTTATCCTTACTAATGTTATGTCTAACTTATTATTGGATTATAATATATTTATTCTCTTTAGTTTGACTGGGAGGTAAGAAAGCAACCTTTTGGTTTAAATAATTTAAAAATGTTATCTTTACAAAGACTTATCCAAGAGAGTTACAAAGTGACGAGAAGAGAGAAAAAAAAAGAAAGAAGAAAAGAGAGAGAGAGAGAGAAATCATGAAGATTAAGAGTAAAATTGTCTTTGTATGCTCTTTTGTATTTGTCTTTGTAGCCTAGCAATTCTCAAATAATTTTGTCCAAACGTCAAAACATATGACATTTTTTGGGAGGAAATTTACACTCCGCGACTTCCCAAGTTTGCATTAAAAAAAATGACCTGAAATACTTTTCATTTTTTTTTTTAGTAAAAACTGACGTGCACACTTAGGATTCATTAAACATGTAAAACGGCTAAAGTGAAAGGATTTAAACATATGGGTAATACTATAATTAATGGAAGTTTGTTTAATTTTGAAAATAAAAAACCCCACCTTTCGAAATCACTTAATCGAGCAAATACCAAAAAAGACGAACGAACACCTTTGATTTCTCTACCATTTCCGACGACGAAAGTGCCTTATTCTGGCAAATATTCAATTCTAAAGCTTCCTTACACAAAATCATAGCTGTATTCAGAAGAGGAGGAAAACCCAACCCCACTCCAAATCCTAGACTCCGAGGGCGCGGCAGTTTCAAAGGGTGGATCATCCGATGAGTGAAGGTGGTCCAGATGCAGAGGAGATGACAACGAAACAAGAACAGAGAGAAGAATAAGAAAACGGTTTTGAAAGGAGGACGCCGACGAGAATTCAGGAGAGGAGAAGGATGTCGTGAAAATGATACGTTTTTTACTTGTTTTTTTTGAATTGGATGAGAAATTTGATTGATTTGTGCGAATTTGGGGAGATATAGTTAGTTTTATTGTTATGGTGGTTGTAGCGTTTTGTTGAGTAGTTGGCGGGCATTGGGGGTGCTTTTTTTGTGTTCAAGGATGAAGGAAAGCAAGGGAGGCCGTAGGGAGGTTGTTTGTGGGAGGTTGTGGGCTGATGGTAGGGGTGGCAAAATAGGGGCGCTAGACGGCTGCCCTACATATTGGCAAGGCTGGCCACGCACAACGTGCATACGCTGCGCGCGTTGTTCGTGGCAACCTTGCAATATGCAGGGCGCCCTCCAACCCCCCTATTCCGCCACCTCTTGCCCCATACCCCGGAAGCCATATCCCCCAAATTGGTAGCCTATTAGTTTTTTTTTTTTTTTTTTTTGCTGATATTTAGTCTATATTGATTGTGTAATTTTCCGAAGCGTAAATTACAAAGACTATGGGTTGGAGGTTGTAAGCGAAGGTACCGTACTTCCCTGTAAGGGTGATAGTTAAGTTGAGTTGGCAATGTTTTACGAAAATATTGTTTTTAAGGGAACAGAAGAAGGGTTTAGACTGATTCAAAGAGATTGATTCGTGTCATAATTGTGAACATCGAAGAAATTGGAAAAAGGCGTTCTGGGGCAAGGATCATTATATGTTGCTGCACTCAGTTAAAGCCAAAAAAAAAAAAACAAAAAAAAAAAAAAAAAGAAATGTGTTCTGGTGGATGGAAACCCACTACGTTTTGGGATGATGGAATATGCCCTTGATAGGCTTAAGATATGGGGAATTTCCAGATGCGGCAGAGCAAGAGAGAAAATAATAGTAAGGCAGCCAATAACTTTGCTAAAAGGTTTTTGGGGGGAAGGCGTTTATTATGGCGCCGCGTTTGGAGGAGAGTTAGAAAAAGGTGGGTATACCTCTTTAGAGAGGTTCAAGATATGTCTATTATGGTTCGTGCATTCGATCTTAATGGCTCCTGACTCAATAAAAGCCGGTAATATGGATGGGGTGAAGTTTGCAAGCAACAACTTCTTTAATGCTTATCCGTGGGGACGGGTATCATTTCAGCTACCATAGACTCCGTGCAAGAAGGACATGGCATAAAGTAGCGCCAATCTGTCGAGAAGAATAGACCAAGCATGTACAATTTGTTTGGCTTCCCATGGGCAATGCATGTAAATATTATAGTTTTTTGTTATATTTTTTGTGTTATATGTGTTTTAATTATGATATGACTTTGTTTTTTTACATATATACTTGGATGTATGAGGCCGTCCTTGTCTTGGCTAAGGCGGGGGGGGGGGGGGGGGGGGGGGGAGGATGAAGACTTCGGATGAGCGACCGCAATTTCCGTTTTTAATATGCATTGCTTTTTTAAATGTGGCTTAATTTGATTGATTTTTTTTTTCTTATTGCAGGGAGTGGTCCATCCCTTTCTCACCGCTACTAGGAGTGAAGCGAGAGAGGAGTATGTACATCATTCAAACCACTAGGGATGAAGCAGATGAGGATAGACCGCCTAATGAGAGCTAGAAGGGTTGTAGGCCACTGCTTGAGAATGTTGTTGACACCAGGATGATGAAGCTCCAATCGCAGGAGGGAGAGGAGGAGGATGATGAATAGGTATGCTGGAAAATCGGTACAACAAGTACCGCTTTGCCGAGGCGTTGGGGTCGGAGAATGAGGCAGTTGACCTCATAAACGGTATGTTTGAGAGTTTTACAACAACTGTTATGAGAGGTTTGAGAAGATGGAAAGCGAATGAAATGGTGGAGGAAAAGTTGTATGGGCGGAGAAAGTTAGTAGGGTGGAGGAATTTTGTGGGGTATTGAAAGTGGTTGAAGTGCAACCTAAGCATAAAGAGAGAGCCGAAGAGTAAGCATGTAATTTTTCCTTACACGACAGTAACGTAGGGAAAGAAGAGGAAAACGAAGAAAAAACAATGAAAGTTCGTGAAAGTGGAGAAGCAAAAATGGAGGCAGAGGGTAAGGAAAGGCGGAGGAAGTGGGGAAGTGAAAATGGAGGAGGAAGGCGGAGGAAGTGGGCAAGTGAAAACGGAAGAGTTAAAGGTCGATTTGTACAGTCAATAGATGAGGAAAAGAAAAAACTCTTCTATGCCTATTACAATGATTTGGAAGTGATGGGCATGCGAAGTGCAAGATCGGATTATCCCCGCAGTGGTTTGAAAAGATGTTGACAATGGGTAGGTGGGCTCGACAACTCGGTGAGTTATTTTCCCTTATTTTTCTTTCTGTTTTCTATGAGTATTGTATCTTATCACGTATTTTTATTGATGGCAGCACATCGTGTAATCCCACTTGAGGTACTTATTTAAGAGTTGTTTGTATTAGTTAAAAGTTTATGTTTTAACTTAAATTAGTTTGTATGTTGATTTGGTTGATTGTTGCCTTGAAATGGGTTGAGTTTTGGTGAAGTTGAAATTTAAACTTCGCCGGGGCGAAGAAGAAACTCGCCGCGGCGAGAGGAGATGTCATTGCGTAGGTTCTGCCCTATTTCGCCGAGGCGTCGAAAAGGCTTCGCCGCGCGAAGAGCCTAAAACAAAGATTCTTGAGTTTTCTAGGAATTCTTCTTTTGGGACACAATGACCATTCTACCCCTAATTAGTAGGAAAAGGTGGGAGTAAAATGAAAGGAAATTTAGTAGAGATTGTGTTTGAATGGGGGTGTAGTTGTAAAGAATCAAAGGATTAGATGGAATTTCCAAGAAAGGGCAGGGCAAAATGGAAATGAAGCTTTTAATATGAACTAAAAGAGTAAATGTAAGAAGCCCTTACTCATCTTTCATTCCCCTCTTCCATTGCCCATATTCTCTCAATTTCTCCACCCAATTTTCCAAGAGTTCTAAGGATTTAAAGGGGTTTTGAGTAGAGATTTCATCTAAAGCTTCCTAAGGTAAAATTCATGCTTTAGAGTGAATTTTCTTGTATTTATAGTGAGGTCTTATTGTGTTGTTGCTGCCCTTGTGGTTGTTTTGAGTTGTAGAGAAGAGACAAGTCCACAAAGGGAAGAAAATGCTAAGGACCCCATCTTGCACAAGGTAAGTAAATCCAACCATTGAGTTATGACTAAGCTTGAGTAGAGACGTATTTTAATTATGTATGTACATGGTATACCTACTGAAAATTGAGATGAGATGTGTGCTTGTCTTAGTAGTTGGGATTGATTAAATATGAGAAGTGTTTTGATATGTGTATTGAGAATGGATTTGAGATGAAGTTTGAGAGTTGTTGTGTAATCCTTTTGGAGTGCTTTTCTTGACAGGGATTATGAGTAATTGAGTGGTTTTTCCCCAATTTGGATGGCTAGAAAAATGAAGTTTAGTAGTA